TATCATAGTACATTTCCTCGACTTTACACGCTGAAAATCATCCAACAGCTCATTATCAGTTTCGTCTTCTTCTTGGTACTCATCAAGTAGGCGGAGTCTTCGATTTTCATCAGCCGTGTAGTTTCCCCTTATCCCGTGAATTAGCTCAAAATAAAAATAAGTAAAATTTTTCATTCTTCGAGTTAACATCGATTTACAAAACAATGGGAAATGAGGTCCACCAAACGAGTCACTATCAGCCCTTGAATGAATGTATCGTTCGATACCGTGCTGCAAATCTGACGCAAGCGATGCGCCGAAGGACTTAAAGAGGTAAATTACTGTTGTTCACTGACATTAACATCCAACAAAGGTGATAGTTGCCAAAAAATATTCAATGCGTCGTTTTTTCAGCTGGATTTCCGAATCGCAGCACTCGTCACTTAACAATTGTCCGTTTACTGACTCCTCCTTCAAAATGGCAGTATGGCTGGGAATATCTTCGTAAAATACCCCTCTGAAACATGCTTACATTTTCTGAAATGATAGACTGAACTTCACCATTTCATAAAATGTGTATCTGGTCAAACGGGTGCGAAAGGGCACGCAAAGACCATACACTGCAAATGACGCACGAGTTAGAAAATAAGAGGTCCTGAGTATAAAGTCCTAAACCACCCTGTTTCGACCGAAAGTATCCAGTGCGAAGGGATGCTATTGTTTTCACCATAGCATAAAGAGTACAAGGCGCAGAAAAGCACTAGAAATGAAAACTGGTCTTGATTCAAGCTCAATCGGATAGATGATGGGATTTATTGGTCAGCTTATGGAGAAAAGAACAAGAGGCCGAGGAAGTAAGTCTTTACAGTTCGCCGATTGGTTATGTAAATTTCAACCAATCGAAAGAATAGTACGATTTCAAACAGAACTCCTAGAGACGTCCCACAGAATCGCCCGACTGGAAGAACTGTGTTTGGAAGTCGACCTTGCGGGGATTGCATTAAAATTGTATTTCCTTCCCCGTTTTCCAGTGATCGAAACTGTAGCAGCTGGAACCAATGTGTCTATGGCCCACGGTTTATAGCTAATAAGTTGAATTGAATTAACTGGGAGTTGTTGCAGTTATGTTCAGCAGAGTATACGGTACATCTATTATCATGCACAACATCCATTAGTTAAGTAATGAATGAATATGATGTCCACCACTAGAACAGGTGTCTAACCGTTTCCGAAAGTGCTTCGATAACTAAGAGCATTGTACTAGTTGTATACGCTGAACTGCGATCCGAGCACCGATGCTTTCGCAGACGACAGCATCCAGACTGTTACACGAACTGACTGATAACAGAAAAAATTCAGTGTCAAGGCGCACAAGCGATGAACAGCACACGAGTCAGTCGTTGTGTCTGTTCTCTGAAATGGGCGGTCACACAATCAATTTTTCGTCAACACACAAGACCAGAGAACTGTTCAGTCCTAATTAGAGAGTACGCACACAAGAATCTCACAAATTGACTTTGGTCTTAACCTACTGAGGATTCTCATTTCGGGAACATGGGCTATCATTCACAATGACAGTACCGTACAACGATATCTCGTGAGGAACAGGGGTCTGATTCTTATTGGGTTCACTTGTTTCAGTACTCTATGCACCATACAAAGTTACAGGCAACCGAAAGGCGGATCATGGAGTACGAAAGACATGTCTGTTCTGGTCCCAAAACTGTGCTGCGATCAAGGACGCCCGAAAGTATCTCGACAGTAGCTCACCAAGTCTTAGCTGAGGGGTAGTGTGCACGCTTGAAGGACATTAGAGTGCCCAAAGCCGGCCTAACCAAATACGAGTAACCACCATGTGTGGAGGCCTTTGTCATTAGCTCTCACCATGTCTCAGTCATAAAGATGAACCGGTGTCGTCCGTCTGGACAGGGTTGGCATCAGTGCTTGGTTATCAGATCATGGATAACAATAGGAGAACATTGGTTGGACCACTACCTGTTTCTTTTCAGATTGCATTGAGCTCCGTGTCAGATGTGACAACCGGTCGCGACCATAAAATGTCAATTGTAGACACTGTCTTTATAGGATGCTTGTATGATTCAGTGTTTACTCGCTTCCCTGTCTCGTTTTTTTCACTTACAAGCTCGTCTTGACTGTGCTAGTGAAAGGCTATAATCATAAACTTGATATTTTAATTCCATTTCAAGGACTTGAAGATGAAGATTATGAAAAATCGCAAAGCACTATCTGATGAAACACAAAGATAACTAATCTTAGCACTGTGTTCAATATTGCACTCCTTACTGATAACGACGACAATGAAAGGGATATGCTCTTGGACTTGGAAAGTCACGGAAACACAGCAAACTACATAGAAGTGCCACCAAATTACCACCAAGCGGAAATTAAGAGCACGATTATGTCAACCCAGTTCATTTTGACAACCATGAACCATGTTCGATAGTCTGGAAAGCGATAGCCTATGACAGCGGGTAGGTAGAAGGGGTATGAAAAACCATTTTAGCAGTCTACTGTTTGGTCACGAATGGGTAAATCGTCAAGTGCCACTTTCCTTCATCTGAGAGGTGTTATATTTGACAAACTTGAGTATACGTCAGACAGATTCTTTCTGAAATCCAGACGGAAAGACCAACTCACGAAAAACCTCCACATGCTCCCTCCAAACTATCAAGTAACACCAAATCCTCACAGGCCGGACAGGAAGTCTCTAGCAGACCCACTAATGGGGTGAAAACCGTGAGAATCTAATAATCCTGTCAACTCAATAACATAGAAACGTCACAGCAACCAGGACATAGAACATTGAAATTGACAACATGGTATCCGGTATCAGTTTTGGCGACTTCCGCCAGGACACTCAAGGGTAGGAGCAGTCGTCTATGAAGTGTGCGTGAGAGCCGAGATTTGGGCTTACCATGCTGAAGGAGCAATATCTTTGGGCAAAGCAGAATTGCAGAAGCACGTCCTGGACGTTAGATTCAGAGCTCCCTAACACATTTTACCATGTCCTCGAACCTAGACCGGAAGCTAAGCGAACACGCCTGACCACACTATCTCCACACGAAACCGATGCAAGTCCTTCCCGGGCTTACGTCCAGCAAATTAGGTTTTCAAGGATGGAATATCAAATAGCCTGTGTGTGCCAGCTAGTCACTTACGCAGCCTACTGGCCGGTTCCGCAGATAACCAGACAGAAATCCGAAGTAGTCAGCCAGTGGTGTTTGGTAGGACTGTCGCCTAGAACGGATTACTAAGTTATTGTTCCCCATTTTTCGGCTAAACACATATGTGGGCATGAATTCTTTCTGTGGTGCAAGAAGCTGCTTGTGATCAAATCCATCTCTACCTCTAATTTTGGTCATTTAAACTCGGATCGTAAAAATCCGCCCACCCATAAATACTCACGTCTCATTCGGTTTCTGCTTGCCAGCTTAGCTTCAAATATAGTTCCTTACGGGATTCGGCCTTCTGTGCCATGTATGATGGGGCATTGACTCGACCGGCTGAGGGCAATGAAGAATACACGAAACAGAAGAAACAACAAGTTCGAAATTGCTCTGCAGGTACTTCACCCCGTAGAGAACTTTTATGGCCACAGAGGGTCAGTATTTATTAGTAATGATGATGTCTTTTGGACTTCGTGGCAATTAAATACCCTCGGTAAGCACTAGTGTCCTGTCACAATGACGACTCGCCAAAAACCTATCAACGGAGGCACGTCATTTTTTCGAGAAAACAAAACAAGTCACAGAAATACATTCGTAGTCTAGTCATAATAACCATCTATTTGTGCATTAGAAACACAAAGTACCGACAAGGACGAGGCCGAAAGTCACCGTGTTCCTATGGTAAAACCATACAGTGATTATTCAGAATGGTTGTGCACTGCAACACTCACAATGCCTTAGCTCCTGAGCAAAAAGTCAGCAACGTGCCAAGGTAATTCAACTGTCGTTTGTGGTTTAAAACAGAGGCAAGGTGAGTGCACTACGGCCTACGAATGAGAACAAATCGGAAAGCACTAAGACAAAAGGACAGTCAGTGGTAGAACTTCTCCGGCTTCCGGGCCCACAACTGACAACGCTGCTCTCGATGACTTGGCCATTTGGCTGAAAACCTGTAAAGGGTGAGAAACAAAAGGAACGTTATTACGTACGTCTTTCATTAAATGCAAACAAAAGAATAGCTCCTTATGGTGTAACTACCCATCAAATTAAACGTCAACAAGTTTTTCACCCAGGGTAGTGAACATCAGGAAAGTAACTCTAATAAACCAATACGTTGAACGAATTGGGGTGTGATCAGAACGGGTGGAGTTGAATTTCGACCGAACCTAAATATGGGATTAAAAGTTCCGGAGAATTTTGATTCGAAAGATATGCGACCATCTACAAGTAATGCGTGTTCAAAACTGGCCCCTTGAACTGAGATGCTGCTCAAACCACTCAACGAAAAACGTATTCGGTCAAGTTCTATTGATGAAAGTTAACTTCCTGTTCTCTAACGGTAGCTTCATCGGTCATTACCAGAAGTTTTAGACTTCACAAGCGGGTACCAAGGTTAATCCGCAGGCCAAGACAACTTCGGTTCCTTGAACGTGACTTGTTGGATTGAGAACAAAATAAGGTAATGAAAGGTATTATTAGGTCAAGGCAAAAACTGGTTAGACGACTGAGGACTGCTTTCCTTCGTCAAATGAGTTGCCGAAATCAAAGCATATATTTATACGCTTCCGGACGATCCCTGAAGACAGTCCACATCTTCTGCTAGTTTGTATGAGAACAAAACTTGAATAGCATTTGCACTCTACCAGAGTGTACTAAAAAAAGAACGATCGCACTTCTCCAGAGGAAAGCCTAAGCACGGATCTTGCAGCGGGAAAACTGCCGGTGTGGAAGTAGAGTCTGTACCTACAGCTGGACTAACAAGAACCACAGACAGAACCACTTTGGTCTTAGTAATGAAACCACTCTACGCGGGACAACTTCACCAAACAGACAAACATTCATGTTCCACCTCAAGTACACGTAAGAGATAAAGCATGACTTGCCCCATTAAGTTGTTCCAACGTGACCTTGTCTACAGCAGCAGTACGATCTTCTGGGCTCTGGTACATATGTCCTGGCTTTGAAACTTGCACAGCTAGGTCGGTAGCCAAAGTCAGGGGACTTTCGAACGACATCAGGATGTCGGCTTTCCGTAATGCTCTGGAAATGATACAAAAACCGTAAAAACGAGTGCAGGCAGATCGACAACGCAATTGTTCAAAAAGTGAAAATAATTAGCATAATTAGCATTAGATGATACCCGAACACTCGAATTAATAGTTCGAAGGTTGGAGCGTCAAGTTTGCCACTAACAGAGAAAAATATTTCACGTTGGAAGCGAAGAATTAAACGAGAGACTCAACCAAATATTAGTTACATCTCCTGTCTACCAGCTACCTGATAACCACCGTTTATGCTTGAGGCATAGTACGTGCTCACGGAGGGTACAGAGGCTTTTTGGACCTGGTATAATTAAACATCAACGTGAATCTTAATTTATTTGGAGTACCCTTTGCGCTTGGTTCCTCGGACTGAAGAAGTTCAGAAAAACGGTATTGAGTTCGCTGTGTATCTAAAAACGCGGTAAACGCTTAGCAGAGCCCTCAATAAGCTCGCCATTCGATGCTTAAGCAGACCGAAATGCCAAAAACCAAAACCTCAGCTTTCCACAATATTACGGGGGACGCATCCAAACGAACAATTCTGTTGGTTTTTGTCTCCCTAAAGCTTTATCATCGTGGCCTATCGTTAACACCCGTTTGGATCGTAGCACTCTTGGTCGTTTCATCGCATACCATCCATTTGACAATCACCATCTAGTACAAGTCTTACCAAGGCTATGAGGGGACTGTCTGATCGATGGACAAATAACCGGGAGGTCACACGATTCAGAGGCATCACAGCGTTAAGTTTCTTCACTTTTTATGCCGAATGACTGGAGAGCTGTTACTGCATAGGAATGCCCAACTATATGAAATTTCCCCACGTCCAAATTGGCTTTCCAGCCAACGATATTTAGGCCGAGCAAGGGCCAGACACAGTTTTATTTTCTGGCGATAAAATTTATCGTAAGTGTAGCCACCTAAGTCGTTCGGATCCTTATGGAAGATCTGTGGCAATGGTTTGACGGGAAGGAATAACATAACTTGGGCTATTTATCTAACCTGAAGGCCACATAAATGGATCACGTGTATCGTCAAGCTAAGAAATACATGTGGGAACGACACGATAATGGACCAAGCGGTTTAGAAAGCACGAGTCTAGCAGAAAAAAACGAGACATTAGTCGTCAAGGTAGGTTGTGTGATTCTGCTCAGAATCACAAGGGTTAATGCATTTACCTCAGATCCACAACGACTTGAGCTATCAATGAACTGACTCTGTGAGAACTTCAGACACGATCGGATAAAGATGGCTTGAAGTGAAAACCCCCAGAAAGTGTTTCAACCGCTGTCTCTACAGAAAAGCCATTCAGAGTTAAAACTGCTATTCCTTCTATCTACATAACAAACATATAACGCGGGTCGATTCAAGCAGATCACTTACTTCGCTCTAGCCAACTCTTCAGTCGTAAACTTGGCTGCTCGGATTGCACTCACAATGTTGAAGAGGCGTCCTTCCACTGCCTGAGCTGTTGGGCCAGATACGCTGACACCAAAGAGGCCATCTCCCGTGTATGCCTTATGAAAGGCGACAGCTTCAACTCCGTCATCAATATTTCCAGGCGCTAAGTGAGTTTGTGTCTGACCGTGGGAGTATGCGACCCGTCCGATGGCGCCAGTGAGAAGGCTGGCAGCCAAATCAAAAGCCGTCTCATTGGAACTGCTGAACTTCTGAACCAGGCGTGGGCCAGGCTAGATTCGCTGTTACGCTGGATGCTGCAGCCAGGTCACGACGTATGTCACCTAGAGCATTCGGTGCAAAGAAGGAAAAACCTTCGTCAAAGGAACAGATGGCTATCTAAATGCTAGAGTGGACAAGGCTAAACCAAGGTGACCGAGCAATGTCTCACATGTATGTACATCTTTGTATTTGATAATTATAACAGACTGGACAAAACATGATGAATGGAAGTTAACGTGGTAGGATTGACCGGGATGGAAACAAAACGCAACGTGAACGATGGTTGCAGCGTTTGCTTTGGTGCAGAAAGAATTAAGGGACAAGAATGGGAGATACACATTCTCGACACAGCCTGAGTTGGTCATCGCATACAATATCTTCAGCCATAAACACCGGTTCTCTATCGGTCCAAGATTAGAGCAGATAAAAACTCGCCACATCTAGACACATTGCTACTTTTGTCAATTCGTACCCGGAATTTTACAGGACACATGCTTTGTTTGACAGTCATCAACACCATTGACAGTGATACAACAGTGGAAAATCATGGTCCAGAAACGTCACGCAATCATGTCCCGGTTAATAAAATTTAGTAGTCCACGAAGCAAGGACTCCTCACAGGGAACAAGTCAAATGATGCTAGTTAAGGGGCGGTGTCTTTTGGAACGATGGAGATAATAAGTTAAGTGCTTCAATTTCGATAGTGATACAACCATACACCGAACCTAGCGCATTAATAGTGTGAACTTTCTGTAAATCACCTGCGATATAACAAAGTTCCCCTCATAATGACACCGTCACCATGACAAAAGTCAAGAAAACTCAAGTATGAAGCCACAACTTCACAAACATTAGTTGGGACTGTACCAGGCTCTCATTTGGGTCCAAGCTGGTAAGCGGCCTCACTGTGAACATTTCCAACCCGCTGCGATCATCCAGTCTGGAGTGCAGCTTCTCTAGAGCTGCGATAACACATAACCACATTGAAAGTTCGACAAGTAATGACACTATTGTACATGGGCGTAGATCACCAACTGACATTCCAGTTCAAGGTTTTGTGTTATAACGATCTTTAGAAATTGAACTCACGATTTCAAAATTTTATACCTAGCCCGGGAGCAACTACCTTCAACAGAGACCAGCATAGAAATGACACTCGTTTGGCTTATGGATTATATTTTGTCAGTAAGCTCTCCGTCAGAAGAGACTGACCCGCAGAATAAAATCGTTCAGCTGTAGTACACTTTCGATGCCTAACTGCCATGCCACCCGTAGGAGGCACGAGGGCTGGGATACAGCTAGGTTGCCAAAGCCTAGAGAGAGGAGGTCGAGAGGCGGAGGTCGGGTTCAAACCACGGATCTTGCAGTCAGCAAATTCGCGCTCTAAACACTGAACCGTCTCGCCCCCCTCTCGACCCGCATAATAGGTCAATTTCGATCGGAGTCCCATTTCTCTTCCTGACCGGTTGCGGGAGCGAAACTTAGTACAGAAAAGCTGTCTCGAATGAGCGAGGATTCTTAGTGACACAGTGAACTTCCTGGAGTGGGGATGGTACCAATTGCTATAGCTGATTCCACAAGTGTGTACGCCTTCACACTTGGAAATGGGCGAGTGCACACAAGACAGGCGACAAAGAAAATGTTCCCAGTAGTAGTTATATCTTTGACGTTCACAGAAATTAGACCTGCTATGAAGGCAAGGGCTCTGGTTCGCCAATACGCCGAAACATGTCAATTTATCAACAAGCTATGGGCCGAGGAGGCGTAAAATAGAAAGTTTATTTGAATGTGTCACATGTAAGATGTAAGAGGAAAGACATTCAATACCAAAGATAATAAGTAAGCGACTAACCTCCGACAAATCCATGAACTTTCCCCACTTTTTCAGGAACCGTTTTGGGGGCACGAACCTTCAGGCCACCCTTGATGTGGCGCAATAATTCAAGGCCATCTTGATCTGATTCATGTCCAACCAAAGCGATGGTGGTGTTGGCGGGAGTGAAAAAGTACTGATGAAATTTCTCGATCTGATCGATGGTATAGGAGCCCACTCGGTCAGCTGGGGCAAAGAGAGAGTACCCAAGACCAGACCCGAGCGGGTTTAAGCCAAAAGCAGCCTCATGGAGTAATTCCATGGCAACTGTGGAAAAAGGACAGACATAGATAAAGGCTGTTTTCACACAAACGAAAGCACAAATTAGTGTTCATTGGTGAGAAGATTCCGCATAATTAATTTGTCTTACTGAGGCTATATTTTCCAACAACATAACCGGCCACCCCTTTAAATTTAGTGCGTAATCAGTGTGATCCAAATAAAATTTCCGGCAGAAAGCAATAAACGCGAACGACTTATGCTGTAATTTCACGCAGCTTCGTGGCGAGGAAGCCGCGGATGATCGGCATCTTAACAGTATGAACTAAGTTAACGCAATTTCGAAAACACGCAATTAAATTTAGGGAGCGTGTGCAACCTCCGGGCTGAAGGATTAACTGCGCGGGATACCAACGAAGAGGATAGACGTCGGTGTCGGGTGTTATTTTCACTACTGGCGAAGGACAAGTAGTGCAAGATTAGTAGTACTATGGGGTAGGTCGCATGCACCGCAACATCCATAGCAAGGAAGAACTATTTCAAGTCAACCTTAGCTGTATTGGTTTCTTTTTTACTTTGCAAGAAGAGTACTGATATTCTATGACCGGTAACCGACAAACTTACCCGTGTATAACATCAGGAAGTTTGATGTGGTGACGTGAATAACAATGATCCCACAAGTGGTTGGCGCACTAACTTTCGAGCAGCAACAAAATTTCAGAGGTCGCGACGGTAGTTTTAACGCTCCTCTTCACCTTTGCAAGAAAAACAGACCGGGTATAGATCATTCGTTCCGGTTGGTCACTTTCGTGCCGAATAATTTCATCCATTTGATATAGCCCAGCCACTGCTCCAACTTTCAAGAAGCTCGATTGGGATGCTCGATTGTTTAGAAATTCCGAGATGTGCGGACCGGAGTGAACTCATAAGGTGCAAAACAATCTCACCTGTGACAGTATTAAACAGGCGTTGTGGCGAAAAGTGCTCCTACTTGTATCAAGGAAGGGTGAATTTTACTCCAAGGCGGTTTTTGGATCAAATCGGACGCGGGGTATTTCGTCGCATCATTTTAGCACATTGAACACATTCTTCCAGGAAGGTATTGTTCACCGAACTTTTGTTCATATGAACTATATCCAACTTCGGAAGAAAAACTCTCACAGGAAGGCCTTTTTTCTTATTCTTATCCCCCCAAAGGGGCGGTGGCTTCCATTGACTCTTTCTAGTGCCATATGATGTAAACAGCAATGGAGCAATGAAGCACGAGGGCTGGGATACTGCCAGGTTGCCCAAGCCTAGACAGGGGAAGTCGAGATGCAAAGGTCGGGTTCGAACCACGGACCTTCCGGTCAGTGAATCCGCGCCCCAACCACTTGAACCATCTCGCAGCGTGGTGCAGAAGTTTAACATGTCTTTTACCACAACTAGCTAACACCGCCGAGCTGGTTTTTGGAAATTCATCAATAGTTCTTAGTGGTACGTCACCTCCTTCTTGAGTTCGAGAGGGCCCAGTGGTTAAGGCGCCAACTTACGGACTAGAAGGTTCGTAGGTCGAACCTGACATCTGTATCGCTACTTCTCCTGTCAAAGTTTTGACAATCTGACAGGATCTCGGCCCTCGTGCTTTCTTCGGGTGGCATGGCAACTAAGCACTGAAGGAGTGCCACAGCTGGACCGTTACGCCGTTCTCCACACATTTAAATACAACTTTCAACACCGATACCAACAGTAGGAACATTTGCTTTGTAGATGTCCAGACAATTTTTTTCTAAAGTCGGGACCATACATTTGATGCCTGAAATGTTCCAGTGTTCACTTTTAGAACAATCTGCACAGCTTTCTCGTACAAAACGCTATCTTTGAGAGGTATCTCCACATGAATCTGCTTCACAATTTGAAACCATTGAAGAGTTGTATGGCTGATATCCTGGAAGTCTTGATTGAATTCGATATGGAGGTGGCTTGCTGACAAGCTACTTTCAATGGGCTGCTGAATTAGTTCCCTATGAGCTAGGACCTCAAACGCTTCTCTATTGTACGAGGTAATTTCATCCCCTCAGTGGAAATCGATACACCATGAACATAAAACTGATGGGCGAACTAAACTGTAGTGGATTCTATTCGATTCACTCACAGTCCGTCAGTGATTGAAATCATCTTGTTTACTGACGCAGAAGAAACCGAGTAGTTGCTGTCTTCGTTGGCCTTTGGTTCTAGGAAGGACCTCTGATGAAGCTGTCTGGGCTGGCTTTGTGTTCATCAGTTGAGTCACTGGCAGTGAAGTGCACCTTTCGATACAGTGAGCATGTATGCAAGCCACATAGGTTGTGTCAAAATATTGTTGGTACCACAGTAAAACACTACTGTTCAGCTGTTTGATTGGCTGATTGTACCCGCGTTAACAACAAAATGAACTCAGGTCCCTAACTAATCAAGCACCTCCAACATAACTTACATCGACACTGTCACTGCATACAAAAACAGAGGATAGTAGATATGACGAAACCAAACGGTAAAATATTTATCACATCGACTATCCTACCAAACCGGACAACTGAAATTCAAGCAGTTCCCGATAGTACTGCCAATTGATTCAGGATGAATGCACGAAACTTCTCGAATCATCGCCAGATTAAATTATTAAACTCATTCGCTTTCATCTCACTATGTACGACACACTCACGATCATCCAACCTGTCGATCTACTGGTTTACTCATACTAAAATGGACTTGTACAGTGTGCTTCAAAGGATAGAGCGAAATAGCTCAGCCACGAATCCGCTTGTATTGCCAGAAATAGACTGCCCTCCAAGTGAGGAGCTTTCAACAGGAGCAGCCTGGTTAGTCATGTTCAAAGTCATCTTTTGCGCATACTCAATATTACGGTTCTGGCTCCTCAGAAGGAGCCATTGATTCAGCATTTACGGTTAACTAATTATATACATTGGATAACGTTGCTCTCAGTGGGGTTGTTCAGGTTCAGTTCCAAGGTGAGTTGATGCGCTTTGATCAACATTGCTTGGCAGAAAATCAGCAGTTTCTGACTTCAAAGGAGTACCAGCATGGTGAACATGGTCAACCTGGAAGCCTGTTTCAAAGATATGTTGTGCGATCAATGACCTCCAGTTCAATATTGCCACTAATGATGCTGACCCGTTGCGCTGTAAGGTCCGTGGGAACCGATTTTAATTAGGTTCTGATATCGTCGATCGGTTCAGCCGATTTAAGCATCATCACAACTGCAACTGAACTTATAAATGACATGCAAGGTAAAATGATCATTCAAACTCTCATCATCATCATCATTGTCAGTTGTAGTAACCGCGTGGTCGTCGTACAGTGGTTGTAGCTGCCGTAGTAGGTAGCTGCGTATTTCAGGCGGGAGATGATAAATTGGTCATTCAAACTCTGGGACCTATTTTGAAACAATTTCCCGGGTTATCAAGACCAGGCACAACTGAGCTGATCCTCGAGTGCGGCTTAAGGTGAACTGAAGTCTCTGCTTGCTTGGTGGTGTTTAAGGCATGATCGCCTCTGAAGTGTAAACACATCCATCTTTTTCTCCATTACTGCGGTGGCCACATTGGGTAGAAGGTGTGGCTTGCTACGTAAGGTACTGAACTTTTCTGGGTAGACATTTGCCAACAGAGTCCTTTTCCACAAATTTATATTGGTTGGTTGACCAGTTTTACACGTAAGTTCATCCTTGTGAAACAGCGTTTCGGTTAAGTCTAGCTTGCATGTCGTCGCAGGAACTGTATTGAAATGAAGATACTGGCCACTCCAAACAGTGTCACCATGGTCAGTGCATAGCAAACTCGCGTCCGGATGCCCGGTATGCATGTAGTATGTTGTACAGTAAAGAAAACTAAACCATAGAGAATAATGTTGGTAGTTCAGGTAGCGTAGATAGTCGTTGGTTTGTTCGCTGAGCTGGACAATTTGATGCCACCATAGTAGTTCAGGTAGCGTAGATAGTCGTTGGTTTGTTCGCTGAGCTGGACAATTTGATTGCCACCATTACAGACAGATTCAGTGTCCCAGAACCCACACTAACGAGTCTGTCTTCAACAACAAGGCAAGCTGTTTAGGACTCAACGAGGAACTATACCATTCCACAAAACTGGGGAGTGGGAAGCAGCCTGTCATAGAAATCACGGACAACCAATCGAAGTCGTTCTGTGTTTCTCATTTGCTCGACAATTGGTTGTTGCGTCTTAATTAGTGGGAGTCAAGTACGATCACCCTCAAGTTTATCCAGCAAACAACACAATCAACGGAAAAGACGTTACGATGTTTTGTGTTACTGGTCAATTACGGCGGCAGCATGTAGTCACGTTTCCAAGAAACTTGAGAGAAGGAACTCCTAAATGGAATATACTTTACATCAGTAAGTGTCTACCTCAGATGAATGTAAAAATCCTAAGAAAGTGCGACTCAAATTCTCTCCTTAAACAATCCTGATGGTTCACTTTTTTCCAAGGGGACTTATACACGTAAACATATATTACTAGCAAACAATATCCCTTCTGTTCATGTGGCAGGGTATTCACTAGATAGTAACCGGATTACAGCAGGAAGTCTACACGAATCAGCAAGAATATATACAACGGAACGTCAATGAACGATAACGCACGTGCGGGTAAATGTCGGCGATTCAACAGGTCGATATCTTTCTTCATCAGTTTGTTTGCAATGGATTTGAGTTCCCAATGGTAGAATACCGAACCCGTAGCCAGCTCAGCGAGTATAGAGCCGGCTCGTGAAACAAGGTTTGGTGCCACGTCCACAGTGTAGATCATATGTTCCCGAGTGGTGGTGGAGCTAGAGTAAATGAAGTCAAAATGTATGTCAAGAACAGAGTGAGATTCAATGAGTAGTGGATTGGGGGATGAGGCATGAGTGAATATGACGTTACCGTGGTGTCTTTCTCCGCTAAGAATCTGTGACCACTGACAAAATTCAAACCCAAGGGGGCACAGTAACTACGCCTCTAATTGAAACACCATAACTGAGTTGATGTAGGAAAGTGTATAAACGGTAGTTATGAAGATCGAGGCCCTCTTCTGGCCAACCTTTGATCAACCAGCAGTTCAAGATTTGGACCGCTTGGATTTAACTAACTACCGCATGGACTAGTTTTATCTAGCACCAAAAACATCGACACACACGGCTTACTAAACTCAGACGCGTGTAGCGCCTTGAGCGGTAAAAAAGCGAAAAAAATAAGATAATCCCAAAAACTATAATTTTGTTCTTCCAGAGGGACCATCACTAAAAAGGCCATTTCAGCCAACGTCTAAAGGCGCATTTCAATGGCGAGCTATCAGAGGAAACACGTTCAACCAGTCCCTTTGGTAAAGCCCCTCAGAATGAAACAAATACAAACGGCTAAATCCAGTGAAACAGACCTCGAAACTCATATTGAAGTGGTTTTCCAAAAATTGGTAGGCAGGTAAGATTCGGCACAAATACCTCCAAACATTTGGGGCGCAGTTTATTTTGTATCCGGTACTCGAGGATCTTCCAGGTGATCATGAGAAAAAAGTTTAGCACGGTAATTCCCAAACTTTTAATAGTAAACCAATCTATGATGATGATAATTACTAGTATTATTATAATCGCTCAGCCGTAACACCTTTTCGGTGCCTAGCTGCCATGCCAACCGAAGGAAGCACGATGGATGGGATACTGTCACGTTGCCCAAGCCCGGATAGAAGTCGAGATGCAGAAGTCAGGTTCGGACCACGGACTTTCCGGTCAGTAAATTCGCAATCTAATCACTGAGCCATCAGGTAGTAGTAATCAATATAGTCTTGAAAGTAAGGACGATGTTTACCTCCTGAAACACCACACATTTGTCCTGTGTTATCCGTATATGTGAACTAACTTGCATACAATAAATTTTCCGACTCATAGTTGGGGACCGCCATGACGCCAATCATAGCAATGAACGCAAAATGAGGTCAACATTTTCATGGCTTCAATCGTCTGGGATAAAGCAACATCCATCTTACGTCTCGTACGCAGAACTCAACACGGTGAGAACAAGCCATTTCATAGAGCATCACCGCAAGACCGCATCAATATCTGGTCGAAAAGTGAATTACGAACGCAGCTGATCAGCGTGCTGGATTAGTTTGTGGAAAGATGAATTAGGCCAAACAAGGGCAGAACACCATCGGATTCAACCAAAATCCACACGTGTCGAAGCTTTTACGGGAAACTTTTACGGGACACGCCCTCCTTTCTGCCGTGGGACTGTGTTCATTACCTCACAGGGCGGACCATAAGTCAGCATGGCTAACGTAGCATCAAAGCTATTCGCACATCAACATGTACGAACATGGGACTTTTGGCCCCAGAGAGTTTCATTGTTTTTTTAGCTACGCCAGCTACTTGCGACAATGCTTACGCCAACGTTTACCAAAACATTGAAAGAGATCAAGCAATCGACGGAGGATACAATCCACGTGCCACCTCGGTCATACATTCCATGGGGCTCATCTCACGAGTGAATAGCCTTCCCTGTTCCATAATTCCATTGAAAAGTAAACTATTTTATAGCCATACCCAGTAGTCTCAATTCGAGCAGCCTTACTCGCGATCCAATAAGCTGGCCTTTTCGCTTATTCGTTATCAGGTAGTTAAGTCAGACGACCTATTGTTATGCACCGCCCGCAACGCTTTTTTCAAGCTTCATCCCCTTGTCCCTCGAAGTTGGCTCCACAACCAAAGAAAGGAAGAATTGAACCCATACCTGACACCAGGCGGCGGCGGGTAGGATGGATGGAGCAATCTTGCGGGTCTTGTACGCTGGTCTGGGGTATAAGCCGAAGCGACAGAGGCAAATATCAAAACACGTAGAAAAGTCTTTGATATCTTTCAGCAATTTACAGAGGAATAACAGCAAATACAACCGACAGAAACTAGTAAGCGAGAAACAACTCACGTGACACGCGCCCCCATCTGCTGAAGGTGCCTCGTCATGTTCACGGCACTGTGATCAAATGTGGATAGGCCACAAGAGCGGCGTATGAGGTGCGTTATCCCCCGATCCTTACCCTCGCGTTCGTATCGAGATCCAGCATTGAATACAATTGCCACACGGGAATAGCAGGGCCAGAGGGATGGTTGGGAGATGCAAGCCAACTGTCAAGAAGCAGGGTAAGAATTAAGTAAGTTCCAGATAAACACAGCGGAAGTTATCAAGCTACCTGCTCAAACTTCGGATGACGAAATATGACCCGCACCAAAGACAGTGCTGATTTTAGAGGCATCAAGGGCGATCCACGCGAAAACTGGAGGCTGCAGAGCTTACCGTTTGGAGCTGGCATCGCCGGTAACAGGCAATAACAAGTTTGATAAAATAACTAATGAGCGGAATCAACTATCGATTTTATTCCCAGCGGCTGGCCGAAGCGGCCATCTTCCTGGATGGGGACCCCGAGACGGGCCACATCAGCAGTTAGAGACATTGCCCAGCCGTGCTCTCAGTGGCGCTCATGTACCCAAGTTATTAACTTCAATGTATAGCTTCCTTCCACACCCCTTACTTAACAGTCCACTGATACTCGCGCCAATTCATCAGCTGCCGCCTCCAATCCGCACCTAGCTACCCCACCTCCCTAAATCACCGGTGAACGAAACTGTGGTAGCTACAACTGTACGACAAGTATGCGGTTCTTACAGCTGAAAATGATGATGAATGATTCACCGTCAGAAAATGGGGGTCTTCCCAGGTGAACACGTACCAGGAAAGTAAACGCTGTCTAGCGTCAACACAGCAACTTCAGAAAAACCAAACTCTGCAAAAACCCATCACTCTCAACCTCGAAAACCGGCCGATTCACATGGGCCATGATAAACTGGGAACGGAGATCAGTGCAGCATCGAGCGACCGCCATTTTGGTTGGTTTATGTGTAAGTATTGGTGATACACAACCATGGTTCAGGAGATTACTTTGTTTTTCATCTGCAGAAATTGTCCTGAACCTATCAACTTTACCCCGGTGGTTTCATATAATACATAATACAGTGACCCAACGAATATTTGTTCAAGTCAGTGGCTTAAAGTACCAAGTACTAGGTTACCTAAAAGTACCGAAAAAACAAAATTTACCTGGAAGCCTTCTTCACTAGTTGAAAGCTGGGGTGATGGGACGGTGGAAGGTTTGGCTGCGGCAGAAGTAACTGCGCTACGCACATGGTAACCGGCCTGGCAGAGCTTAGCGTGCTAAAAGATCCAAGGGGGCAATGATAGTAGGAAATTGACCACAAACCCTAAACATTGAGGTTAGACTGGACTCAGCGGCTGGACGCGAACTCAGCGGAGGACCAAGGTGACATCTCACACCTAATTGGACGCATTGTTTCAGGGTCACAGATTCACTTTCATGGGCTAAATCGCAGGATTCAGGTTTTCGACAGGGTGTTCTTGTCTCTCAGCGAATTCCGTTCGTGTGAAAGGCGCAAGCAGAAAAGGAGGGGTCTGACCCACGCGGTACTTTCGAATTGGTTTCGATTTAGCTCGTGCAAATTTGTGCAAGAGTTCTCTCCTTCCTTACAGAGTTAATGTGCACCAACTTACTCTCCATCATGAGCCATCGACGGACCACAGCAGATGTTGACAAAAGGGATGCCCATCGAATGTAAAACGTGAAATGCCGTATCGTCCTTGCCAGGCCTGGTGGCCGATCTAAACTCATGGCCAGCCCGATGCCATTTACGGACTGTCCTTCTCCTGAAAGCGCACCGACGAAACCAGCCGCTACTCCGGTTTGGTGTCTCTACAATTTAGACCCCTCGACTACCAGGCCTATCATGGGCGCAGCGTCCAAGGTATGTGGAACTATCGTCGCTCATTTCCCTAATGGCGATAAAGGTACACCGGTGAAGTCCTCACCCAGTTCACAAGTTCTAAGCTGGCTTGTGAGCTGTGCAGATGCCAGCTACAGATTCTACGAACAGATCAGCCACATCGGTTGTTTTAGACGTCAGCGACCGCTGCGAGAGCCGCACAAACGGTGACAGTGCGAAAATGCCGGCCTCCACCCCCGCTTCTTCAAGTGCGGTTTGTTCGACTATCGTCAGTCACGACCCCGGTGACTCGACATCACTGTGCCGGAAAATCTTACGTTCGCCAAGTTAACCATTCTCATGCTGGACGACCTGGAGCCCTTTCAAAAACAAAGTGAAGGCGACTGCGATCAAATGAAACACGCAACCTTGGCCAGATTCAAGGTGATGTCCTCTACGAAAACGGGTCTTTTGGAAGTGCTACTAAAAGAGCAGCTTCTGAGGGTATCATCCAACGCACAAACAACCCGACAGGGCTGCACCCTTGCCAGTGAAACCATACCAAAGCACCCAAGAAACAAACCAGACGCCTTTTCATCGCAAATCCTCAAACGACGACAAACCGGTCGTCTGAAACTTGGTATTATGCGAAGTACAGGCAGCAGCCCTCAAAATTGTCAACCTCGGGGGAAAGCTTCATCATTTAGGGGCAAGAAGCCCGCGCAAACCAGACTCTTACGGGGCAAAGTACGCTGTAAACAAAGAGCAGTTCTCGAAAACTCTAAGGCAGTAGACAAACAAGTAGGCTGCAGAAGCATCTTCGTAGCTCTGGACTCAAAACCGGCATACAGGCATTAAACTTGCTTGCCTCTCTGGTAGCTCACTGATCGGGTCTGTACATTTGGACGCAGCTGAGAGAGCTTTTAGGCGCTTGTCCACAAACGTTCTAAGTTTTTTCACCAGCCATCTTGCCCTCAACACTCGTCTGCAATCACACCTTCAGAAACCTGACCCACACCTGACGTGTTTGACGATAGTACCTCCAAAGAGCGCCACACCATTTTTCAAGCTGAATGAAAACGCGGGATGTCAGTTTGGGTTGCTCCCTATTTATTGCAACCATCGTGTCTGGTAGTTGTTTCGGAGGGGCCAATCTGGATGGGAAAGGTCGCATATAAATAGGGAGCAACCCAAACTGACATCCCGCGTTTTCATTCAGCTTGAAAAATGGTGTGGCGCTCTTTGGAGGTACCATCGTCAAACACGCCAGGTGTGGGTCAGGTTTCTGAAGGTGTGATTGCAGACGAGTGTTGAGGGCAAGATGGCTGGTGAAAAAACTTAGAACGTTTGTGGACAAGCGCCTAAAAGCTCTCTCAGCTGCGTCCAAATGTACAGACCCGATCAG